AGTACTGGGGAGTGAAAGAAGCTGTTTTTGCACATGCTATCCACCCTCAGATGCTGTAGCCCTGTACTTTCACTCTTAGTTTTCTGCTTGCTATTACTTTGTCCCCTGCCCCTCCCTCCCATAGTTCCAGTATTTGAATGTTCCCAAGCAGCAGTGACCATATGGATTATTTATGTGAGTAGCCTGTTACTTTGAGGTTTGGTCAGAAAATGAGCCTCCCTAAATTTAGCATCTTACCCCATCCCTACTCCATTTCATCTCACCACACAACACATGTACACATGCATGTAACACATGTGCTTTTTAACCTTCTTCATACTTTTTTGCTAATGGTTAATAAAATAATTAGATTCTTGTTGAAGTACCTGACTATTTCTGGTTGATCCCCTATCGTCCCCACCTTCTTGGTGAAGCTGAAAGGCAGAGGTGAGACAGTACTAGAGGGAACTGAGAACTGAAGGTGTGGGGAGTCTTCTCCATTTGTCAGAAGTTTAAGGAACTTACCCTAGGGTCACAGTGAGTCCCTGGAGAGGCTAGAATCCAGAGTCCGGAAGAATGCTAGCCTGAGGTTTAGCAGCAAGATAAACTGCTGTATGAAAATAAGCAAGTAATTTGGGGTTCTTACTTTTTATCCATTGCTTTACAAGACTGCAAATATATGAGTGCTAAAAGTGAAATAAATCATTACTTTTTTTTTTTTTTTTAAGTGAGAGAAGCTTTTGGGAGGAATGAAACAGAAGCTAATGTTCAGAATAAAAAATTAGACTTTTTGGAAACACCATCTTATTTTTGCCAATATGCTGAAAATTGTCAAAGATATTTTAACATATTTTCTTATAATAAAATGTCATGTATATTCCAGATTAATGCTGATGTGATTATACTGTATACTTGGTTAGTACCTTGGGTTTTTCCCGCTGCTGTTGAGAAGCTTCTTTTTTACTTCCTTCCTTTCCTCAATATATCAGGTGTAGATTGGTTTGGCTCAGTGGTTAGAGTGTCGGCCCAAGGACCAAAGGGTCTCAGGTTCGATTCCCGGTCAAGGGCATATACCTGGGTTGCAGGTTCAATCCTTGGCCTTGATTGGTGTCCTGCAGGAGGCAGTCAATTAATGTGTCTCTCTCACATCAATGTTTCTCCCTCTTTCTCCATGCTCCTCCCTCACTCCCTCCTTTCCACTCTATCTAAAAAAAAAATCGCCCTGGCCGGTTTGGCTCAGCGGTTAGAGCGTCGGCCTGCGGTCTGGAGAGACCCGGGTTCGGTTCCCGCTAAAGGCACGTACTTCGGTTGCAGTTTGTCCCCGGCCCTGGTCGGTCGTGCGGGTGGCAGCCGCTCGATGTGTTCCTTTCACATCGATGTTTCTCTCTCTCTCTCTCTTCCTCTCTCTCCCTCCCACTCTACCTGAACAAAAAATTGAAAAACAAAACAAAACAAAAAAAACATAAAAAAAAAATCAATGGAAAAACACTCTTGTGTATTAAATGATAACACACTACATTTCTCACGTACACCTGACGTGTGTGTGTGTGTGTGTGTGTGTATTATATATATATATATATATATATATATATATATATCTCCCCCAAATATATATCTCTATAACTCAGGTGTATGTGAGAAATGTAGTGTGTTATCATTTAATTCAAAGAGAGCTATTTGCCATATACTCTAAAGGTGGTAAATTGGTTTCATATATTAAAGTGTCTTTCTACAGTGTGTTAATTGTTCCAAAGGAAATTATCCTGCCAAGACACTAAAATTCATTATTTTGTTTCATCTGTGGTTATAGATCACCTAACTTACATGTCATCTAAAATTTGGTTTCTATCCTATAATCAGTATCAGTTAGCCTTTACTTATCTCAATTCCTGATGGCCTAGAAGAATACAGATTCATTAATATGTTATATACACATACTTTAAATTTAAGTCCCTTCTTTTTCTATAGCAGTTTTTAATATGTTTTATTGATTTTTTTTGAGAGAGAGGAAGGGAGAGAGTGATAGAACCATCGATGGGAGAGAGAAACATTGATCAGCTGCCTCCTGCACAACCCCACTGGGGATCGAGCTTGCAACCCAGGCATATGCCCCAACCGGGAATCAAACCAGGACCTCTCAGTCCACGGGGCGATGCTCAATCAGCTGAGCCACACTGGCCCGCGCTTCTCTAGCATTTTAATTTTAGTTTTATCTTTTTTTTTTCTTTATTGATTTTAAAGAGGTTGGAAGGGAGAGGGAGAGAGATGGAGACATCGATGAGACAGAACATCGATTGGCCACCTCCTGCATACTCCCCAATGGGGATCAGGTCTACAACCTGGGCGTGTGCCCTGACCAGGAACCGAACCGGCAGTCTTTTGGTGCATGGGTCAACATTCAACCACTGAGCCACACCAGCTAGGCAATTTTGGTTTTATCTTAATGGCATTTTATTTTGATGATTGAAAAACATTGTTGATGGGCCTTTAACTGGGCAAGTTATAGAATTTATGTGGCTTCAGTCTCCTTGTAAGTAAAAGGAAGTATAAGCTTTTAATTCCCTTTTTTTATATAATTCTGTGATTTATTATTTTGCTTCAAGTTAATCCTCTACCTTTAATAGGCTAAAGTGGATAATTGTTGATGGATCAAGGTGAAAGGAATTAATTTGGAAGGAATCCTAATGTGTACAAATTATCACACATGCCTGGCTGGTGTGGCTCAATGGTTGAGTGTTGACCCATGCACCAAGAGGTCGCCAGTTGATTCCTGGTCAGAGCACATGCCTAGGTTGTGGGGCAAATCCCCAGAGGGAGGCATTCAGGAGGCAGCCAGATGATGTTCTCTCTCATCAATGTTTTTATCTCTCCCTCTTCTTCCCTCTCACTCTAAAATCAATAAAGAAAAAAAAATTTTTTTTAATTATAACACACAATAAGTTATCCAGTGTGACAAATCTGGCAGCTTCTGTTGTCCTTTTTTTTTTTTTTTTAATGAAACTTATTTTTTAATTTGCTTTTTAAAATGATTTTAGAGAAGGGAGAGAGAGAGACATTAATCGGCCACTTCTTGCATGCTCCCTGACCAGGTATTGAACCTGCAACCTGGGTATGTGCCCTGACTAGAAATCAAGCCAGAGACTTTTTGGTACATAGGATGATGCTCCAACCAGCTGAGCCACACTGGTCAGGGCCTGTTGTCCATTTGTTTTTTAGTCACAGGACATCAAAAGTAATCCATCTGCAGGCATAAGTGACTTTTGTGAGATTTGGCCTTAAAAAAATAAGAGTACCAGCATGTCACTGACTTTTAGTTGGCAGACAATAAATGATTGTTAAAGTTTACTTAACCATGGTTTATTATAGTTTGTTGTTGAGTTATAAACCATTTCTAAATACAAATGAAAAAAAGAGAGAGAGAGAGAGCCCTGGCCAATTTGGCTCAACGGTTAGAGTGTCAACCCACAGACCAAAGAGTTGCAGGTTCAATTCTGGTCAAGGGCACATACCTAGGTTGCGATTCGGTCCCTGACCCTGGTTGGAATTGCATAGGAGGCAACCTATCGATGTGTCTCTCCCCCATCAATGTTTCTCTCTCTCTCTCTCTCTCTCTCTCTCTCTCTCTCTCTCTGTCTTTCTCTCTCCCTCTTACTCTATCTGAAGATAAGTGGAAAAATATCCTCGGGTGAGGATTTAAAAAAAGAGAGAGAGGTTCAAAACTAAGTCCAGGAAAGGATATGAATACACAAAGTCATCTGCATATGTTTATGGCAGCTTTATTTTTAATAGCTAAAAACTGGGAACAACCGAATGTCCATCCACCAGTGAATGAATCAACAAAATGTACATTCATACAGTGGAACACCATTCAGTAATAAAACAGAACAAACTACTGATTCATGTCACAATATAGAGGAGTCTCAAAAGCATTATGGTAAATGAAGACCATCAGATAGGAAAGACTGCATGCTGTATGTTTCCATTTATAGGAAATCCTAGAAAAAAAGGCAAAACTATTGGGACAGAAAGCAGATCAGTTGTTGCCAGGATCGGGGGCTGAGAGGAAGGCATTAGTGAGAAAGGGGCACAAGGCTATTTTCTGGGGTGATGGAAATGTTCTGCATCACTATTTCAGTGGTGCTTATATGAATGTGGACATTTGTTAAAATTCATCAAATTATATACTTAAAATTGATTAATTTTATTCGGTGTAAATTATACCTCAAATTTAAAAACTAACGAACCTAGGGCAGCATCTTGAATGCCTCACAGAGTGACTACTTCAATTAGATAGAAAGAAAATGAAAATAATTATTCCTTTTTATCTATCTATCTATCTATCTATCTATCTATCTATCTATCTAGTTAATACTCATCTGAGGATACTTTTTCCATTGATTCTTAGATAGAGTGGAAGGGAGGGAAGGGGAGAGAGAGAGAAACATCAATGCGAGACAGACACATTGATTGGTTACCTCCTGCCTGCACCCCAACTGGGGCTAGGGATCGAACCTGCAACCCAGGTACCTGCCCTTGACCAGGCCAACACTCTAACCACTGAGCCATACCGGCCAGGGCATGGAAAATAATCCTTTTTGAACACTTTATTTATTTTTATACTCACCCAAGGACATTTTTCGATATTTTGTTCAGATAGAGTGGGAGGGGGAGAGAGAGAGAGAGAAACATCAACGTGAAAGGGACACATCAAGTGGTAAGTAGTTGCCACCCACACAACCCAACCAGGGCCAGGGACAAACCGCAACCGAGGTACGTGCTCTTGGCAGGAACCCAATCCGGGTCTCTCTGGACCGCAGGCTTACGCTCTAACCACTGAGCCAAACCAGCCAGGGCAAATAATCCTTTTTAGACTTCAAACTATTTTTAACAAGATACTGACATTTTTATGATGAATCCATATAAAAAGTGGACCCCTAAGATGTATTTGCATAGAAAATGGATCAGCTTGCTTTAATATCTCGTTGTGTTTTGCTTTCTCTTTACCTCTCTGCCCAACCTAGAAAAGCTAATTGAGGGACTCAAATCTCCTGACACTTCTCTTCTGCTCCCTGACCTCTTGCCCATGACAGATCCTTTTGGTAGCACTTCTGATGCTGTTATTGGTAAAGTCATCATCTCTGTTTTTTCTTATCAGTAATGCATGATGTGTGTGTCTGTATCAAGAATGATATCTAACTGGTTAACAGATCCCTAGTCAGTAGCCCTGTGAGGAGTGGAAATGTCACCATGCCTTCTGGTGTTGGACAATGCCTTGTACTAACCCAGAAGCTAAGGCTAATCTCCTTTGTTAGCACCTCAAATGAAGTGTTCTTTGTCTTCCAGCTGTATAACACTGTTATTTTTGCCTTTCTTGATATCCTGAGATTTCTAGGGTGATGTCTTATGAAGGAGGAGGAATGTGGGAAAATCCAAATTTAGTTACAAAAGCTTCACGAAAAAAGTTGGTTTCAAGCTAGACTTTACCATTAGTAGATTTTTCTTTAGAAGGCCTCCCTATGTGCTGCCAGGCATTAATAATTGAGAAAACGCATGCCTGGTGGTGAAGCCTCAGGGGTAGAAACCAAGTGAGGGACTTGGTGTGCTTGCCTTTATATTTCTCTGTGCTCCAACCATAAGGTAGGCAAGACCTACAAAATGCCCAGGGCCCCTGTACTCCAGGGGCACAAAGTTTTAGAACTCAGAGAGGCCATGACCCTCTGGAGAGATAGACCTCTAGCTGGGGGATGTCTCAGTGCAGAATACCTCTCAGTTACATCATGGGATGGGATTTGAGATGGACTAGTAGCCTTTGCAATGTACAGAGGATGTGAAAGTCTCCCAAATTTATCCCTTCAGAAAAGCAGAATTACCAGAAAATATTAAGGTGTTTTTCAGTCTCTTTCTTCTGGTTTGGAAGAGATCTCCTGCATGGCTCTCATTCTGTATTTAACTGTAAAAACTGAGAATCACCGAGGCTAGTGGTTAACTTTGCACAGACATGCTCAATCAGTGAAGCCTAGATACTCAGAGCAGCAGAAATAAAGTAACTTACTGTGTTTCCCATCTCGCCTGAGACCGGCACTTTAGAGATCTGTAGGAGAAAGCCTTCACAGAATTGTCCAAAGAACCTCTGACTGCCTTTCTCTTACCCTTTATTCTCCTTTTTTAATGCTCTGGTACAAAAGAAAAAGCTGATGTTGCTGTTGAGAGTCTCATACCAGGACTGGAGCCCCCGGTGCCCCAGCGCCTCCCATCTCAGACGGAGTCTGTGACCTCGAACCGCACAGGTCAGTCAGGAGTCTCTGCAGCAGCAGGGACTGCTTGACATGGTGAGCCCTCAGAGCCACAGAAGATCCTGGGCTTATTTTGTAGCCTGGTTAGTTCCTCCCAGAAGGGATGCCATGTATTGTTACAGCCCCAACTTCTAGATGTTGATTGATGTGTTTCCTCGCTAAAAAGCAGGGTATTTTTTTGGAGTCATGTTCTTTGTAGAGTGATCCCTGGGCTTTCTCTGATTACAGTCTTTATTCAAGACTTTTGTCACTGGTGGCATGTTCCTTCCACCTCCTTAATTAAAACACTCTGCTGAGCTGTAAGGATGCCCTTAACTCCTCCGGGTTCCTGAGCAGTCTTGCCCCTCTAATGGTGATACCCATGGAGCTCATGTTCTGGGTATTCACATCCATTCCTAGCACAGTGCTTTAATCATATATAGGTGATTTGCTATTAAAGTGTAAGCGAAGTTGAAATTTTCCCTGATTCCAGCATTACTCTGCCCATAAATACAGATTTGATAACCTTCATTTTTTGAGTTCATAATTACCTGATAAAAAGATCCGATATTCTGACTTGGAACAGAAACAATTAGAAGTCTAAGAAGTATGAAAATTAACTTATCCAGATTTTTTTAAAAATGATCACAGAAGACAATAGGGTTTCTTTTCCTTGTGCTTACTTAGCTATTCTAAAAAACTTTCCAGAAAATAATTCATGTGTTAAAATACTTGAACTCTGAATTTTGTCTTCCTTCTGTTCTTTAATGAAAAGCAAACTTATGTGTTCAAAGGAGCAATTCCGATTTTTAAATTACTACTGGTAAGAGATGAGATTGTTCTGTTTTGATTAGGAATCTGGTTGAGTTCTAGAAAATACTGTTTAATCATGTCATAGTCCACTAATAACAAGCCAGGGATAACCCCCTTCTAGTCAGATTGGACACCTCATTCTGTAGTGACTTTTTTCCATGAATGTTTAGGAAAAGTTTAAGTGAAACTGTAGTTGCAAAGTTCTTTTTCCCAAACGGCATTTGCTGAGAACTGAGCTGCTAAAGTTTTATTGGCATCCAAATCACATACTTGCTTATTAAACAACCCCTGAGCAAAAAAGCCTTCCATATTTATATATCAAGGTTAAGAGGAATCTAGAAATACATGTTTCTGTAGATGAAATCCAGACTGCTTAACATGTGTTTTTTTTTGTTTTCTTTCTCCTACGTTGGCTTGTATCTATGACATGTAAATGCAGTAACTTAAAAGCTAAGGTCTAATCTTGTGATATTGTTGTATGTGCCATTTAATGCCATCACTGACCTGGGATGCTGTTAATCTGGACTCAGATTCTCTCACCGGGGAAGATTCCCTGATCGATTGCTCTCTGCTTTCTAACCCTACTACTGACCTTCTGGAAGAGTTTGCCCCCATAGCAATCTCTGCTTCTGCCCATAAAGGTAAATGCTTTCTTCTTCTTGGGCCCACATGTATCCTTAGAGGAGAACTGAACAACTCCTGAAATTTTTCCTTACCAAAAATCTTCGCTAGTGAAGTGTTTTAACCACATCCTTAGTGGAAAACTTGAGCTTGTATTCTCAGCCACTGTGTTCTGGTCTCTCTCAGAAATGATATTTAGTAAGGCTTAGACAACAGATTAGTGGAGGTATTGCTTCCTGGCAGCCACCTGGATTGTAGATACTCCATGCAATCTAGTAAAGACAGAGCTACATACCTTTGAAGTCAACTCTAGAAGGTTGAGTTGATTAGCTACTGACTGTAATTATTAATATGATACTGGTTGGCCTTAGAATGTAAACATATTTAATCAAATATGATGTAAAATTTTTGCATAGTGATAAATGTGCATCATATCTCAAAAGTAAATCCTCAAAAACTGAATTTGTAAGTTTTGAGTTTTAGTTAACATTTGAGTCACAGTTGATTACTGGATTTCTCTTTTTAATCTACCATTTTCACTTCTTAATTTTGGGTCAATACTGGTTTGTAATAGTGCTGGACAGAGGTAGGTTGTGTTGAATTCTATTCAGTAAGTAGATTGTGAAAGTGATAGGCACAATGCCTGGCTTCCTGTACGCAGGCATTCACTAAACTTCTTTCTGTGCTTGGGTAGTGAATGTGATTGTCTAGGAGAAAATACATAGAAAAGGAACAGTTGAGAAGTCCTCTCTGAAAGAAATTAAAAAAGGAAGCCTCTCCAAGATGACTGAAAAATAATTAGCCTGTGGTTTGCAGTGGTAATAGCTGAGCTTTTGTTTTTACCCTTTATAGCATTAAAATGATTATGTTTTCATAGAGATGTAGAAAGAAGTAACCTGTTATCCAAGTATGTCTGGCAGGCATGTGTCAGCAGCAATGGTAATTACAGAGGAACAGTACTTGCGAAATAGGTGCTCAGCTAGCACTTGCTGGTAGGATAGCCTTAATTAGAAGAGAGAATATTCTAACATGCTTCTGCTGGAAATCTCAGTGCAGGTGATCGTGTGTACTGGAGGCATCAGAGTTATTTGAAAGTTGTTTTTTTTTTTCCCCAAAGGGCAGTGAGTTCTTTCAGAAGTATTTGTTTGCCTTGAATTTAGCAGTTACTTTGTAAAGAGAAACTCTGCAGGCCCATGGTTTTCAGTTTTTCAGATATTGTTAGGCCTCGGCTCAATTAAGAAGAGAAATTACTATTTCTGTGCCTTTGTGAGTAACTGACGTTGAAGAAATACCTCACAGTAACTACAATTAATGTTCTTATAATGGTAGTGAAAATTTATCCTATAACCCTTCTCCATCATTTATGAAAATCTTAACAGGGCCAGTGTTAAAGCATTTTTTCCTATTTCTCTTACGTTTTCCACTTTTGCTACTTTTATTTCAACTTAGGAAAATAAGCATTTTCATCTTTAAAAATTGCACTGATTATACAGTTGGGAACTTTGTGTCTCTTACATGTTCTCTCATTTGCTAATCTCTGCTTCTGTTGTTTCTGCTTGTGTACTTGCATTCTGTATTAAGCTGCAGAAGATAGTAATCTCATCTCAGGTTTTGATGTCCCTGAGGGCTCGGACAAGGTGGCAGAAGATGAGTTTGACCCTATTCCTGTATTGATAACCAAAAACCCACAAGGTAAGAAAGAGAGGATGGGGAAAAGAGCTTGACATCAGTTCTCTACAAAATAGTAGTGTACCTAATTGACAAGGGGGTGAAAAACAACATTTAAGAAGGAAATTGGAGAAGGAATGACTGTACTGACAGTCATTGTGGGCTGGACCAGGATAGACAAGTAGAGATACAAATATGGGTAGAGATACTGACCATGGTATTTCTTTAGAAAAAAGAAAAGTATTCAATAGTTTGACTAAAAGCTTCTTCTTCTTTTTTTTAAACAAAATATCAAGCCAAAAATACAATGATCTTTCAGTCAATGGAAACCTGGAGGCATATGTCAAAAAAACAACAACACTGAACAATTTTTATCATGATTAGAACAATTTGTAATAAATATTCTTTTCAAAGAGATTAACAATGCTGCTTTGATATAATTTACATCTTTTGGACCTTTGTGGAGTATTCTTTTTCCTCTGTGATGGATTCAGATCACTTGAACATGCCACAAAACACGGAATTGCATAGGACCATCTATATATTTTTTAAAGCATGTTTCTATTGCAGTTGTCTTAATAACTACTTTCTCCTCAAAGCAAAAGTACTGATTTTTATTCTATCAGGGAGATGACTCCGTGTTGTCAACAAGTTAGTATGTAGCCAGCAGTTCTCAGGCAAAATATATATTCATTTGAAAGGTGTCCTGCCTGCAGGATGGTATGCACACATACCATGGTATACTGCCTGAACCTTTTGTGGGGGGTGGTGGGTACCTAATTTATATGTTTAAAAGTCAGCATGTAAGAGTTTGCAAATGTAAACTGTCGCTTCTCTAGGGTTTTGTTTTAGTTTGTTTTTTTTTTCTCCTTTGCTTGCTCTGCACATCTAACCCATAACCCTCTGTGTTTTGTACTGAATTCCTATCTCTCCACTTCCAGGTGGGCACTCTAGAAACAGCAGTGGGAGCTCTGAGTCCAGTCTTCCCAACCTAGCCAGGTCTTTACTGCTGGTGGATCAGCTCATAGACCTGTAGCCGTGACCCAGTAGCAGATGCAGTTCTGTAACCTTCATACCGTAATATACATTTTCATTACGGAATTATAAGAAAAATGGTTTTTTTTAAATCTGCAAATAAGGGGCCCTCTAGCCCTTATCTCCTACCCCTTGCCTTCTCCTGTAGAAATGATAAGGAAAGAAAATCTCTTTGGCCCTCCAGATATTTCTTGGCCAGTTCCTCCCTGTTCGTTTGCTGTGTTTTCTCATTACCTTTCTTCAATAGCATTATCTTAAATCAAGCACTAGATACCACGAGCTTCACCTCAGATGGAATCAACTCCACCCAAAGCTTAACTGTAACTGAAACTAGTGAATTGACACTTTTGCCTCATTCTTGCTAGGAATGGCCTCCCAAATAAGTCCTCCCAACCCCTTCTTTGGCCAGATGCTGAGAATGTGTTTGTTTTTGCTTTTTATCCTGCTGCATTATTATGAAGACATGGCTTCTTCAGTTGGTCTTAACTCTGGACAGTAGCCTGGAGACAGGTGTGTGGTTTAAGAAAGGGTAAAACTGACTGACATGGTATATGTTTGAAAAGAGAAAGTGAGCCCAGTCCTAGCAAACCAACTTTGACCTTGTTTGATCATAGACTTAGTCAAGGAATTTTACACCCCATGCAACATGCCCAGCATTCGTCCAGCATTCTGGCTTCCATTGAACCGTGATTTCTCAGATCTGGAGATGTGACTGCAAGTACTTGATATCCTTGGATAAAACGTGTACATTATGTAAATCCCAAGTATTTCCATTCCTTTTCATGTTAACTATCCCAAGCCAGGATCTCAGAATTAGACCAAAACAAGACAAGACAATGGTGGTAATATGATACCTTTTATTAGAAGACTTTTCACTGGGGGGTGGGGGGGTGGATGGGGGAGGGGAAGGAATTGTAGCAGAAACAGATGTATTTTTCTTGTGATTTTTATTTTGAATCAAATATTGTAAATTGTGTATAAATGAAGACACTGAATAGTTCTGTTTCCACTTGGCGTTTCAAGTCCGATATCAGGTGTCTGTACAGGGTTTTGATCTCTTTCCCTTGTATAACTTTACACTGCAATCCTACAGTGTAATATATGGAATCATTTTGAGTAGACTTGTGTGTTGCTATAAGCTTTCAGCAGGTCCTCTGTCTTTGTAGAATAAGCATGTTGTTTATTTTCAGATAAACAAAAATAACTGTGCTGACAAGCTAGACCCTGGCTACTTACCTTTCTCTCTCTCTCTGATGTTTGAATTGAAGGATGCAGCCAATGAAATGTTCAGTTGGTTTTCCTTGGCCTCCTAGATTGAAAAATAAAACAAAGCATAGTTCCTCACTAACCTTAGAATATTGTTAAAAAAAATAAATAAAGGACCTTGCACTGACATGACAACATGCCTCATGGTCACCCTCTGTATATGTCCTTACTCAGTTAAGTGTACTTTTTTCCTTATATGGAAAGCAGTTTTCTGAAATCACCCTTTTGAAAAGGTGGGCACAGAGAACGCCACTGTGGTTCTCTATGATGAGTGCCATTGTCCATTATCAGAGGGAAACTCTTAGACTTGTACAAATAAAATTCCAAGTCCATTTGCTTGTTTCTCTATCTAGTACTTTTGTTTCTTCTTCCTCACGTTTGCACTTTAAGGGGGAGAAAAGAAAGTTGAACAGCAACAACAGTCTGCAACACTGCACTTTGGAGGTCAAGCTTTGACCTCAGCAATGTGAGAGCAGCCTTTGACAGGCATCAGAGGAAAAGTCTGAATCTTTCAGTCTTCCTTCTGACTTGAAATACTTCCCGTGCCAGCTGAAACGACATGAGCTAAGTAACGGCCTCTATGAGGATAATGGATCATTTCCAAAATGGAGGGAGGCACAACCATCCTGCTAAGGATAAAAAAAGACATCCTTGAAGAGCTCTTCGTGGTTGAATAGCAATGAAAATGGGACTTGGTTGGCCCCTTTATGGACAGGAATATTATTAAAGATCAAAATTGTATTCTTTTTCCTGGACATAGAAAGAATGTATAAACTAATGAAGGAAATGTTTATTTTTAAAATAAGAATAATGTTTTATGCCTATGTTTTTCAATTTGATTTTTTTTTCATACGTGTTAGAAATATAATGAAATATTTAGTTTCTTGAAACCATGGGATGTACAGTTTAGAAATTAGGTGTCTCTAAATTGTTCCTTTCATGTACTACCCTTATTACATTGAGATATATTATCTAGTCATCTGGCTCAATAAAGCTTAATGGAGACTGTTAATGAAAGAACAGACTAGAAACCAGAGACTGGGTGGAGGAA